TAGATAGATAGATAGATAGATAGATAGATAGATAGATAGATAGATAGCATTGCACTTGTGTTGGAAGCACCGAGGCACTTTAAGGTTGAAAAGATTGTGGGAGACACCCAGTTTGGGGCTCCTTTCATATCCTTGGCAGGAGCTGGAGTAAAGGATAGGAACTCATCCTGCCCCATGGCAGCATTCAGGTCTCAAACACAAGCTTGTGTCCTAACCATGTGATCCACCTTGCTCCAGATAGATAGATAGGCAGGCAGGCAGGCAGGTGGTAAAAAGATGGTGTGGGAGGGAACAGGATGTGCAGGGTGTGAGATGGGACATTGTTATTGGTCCATCAACTCTCTCCAGTGTGATACTCCCCTATTGGGTCCCCAAGCCAACTGGAAGAGCCAGGTCTTCAAGCCTTTATGGAAGGTCAGAAGGATAGAAGCAGATCTCAACCTAAGGGACAAGATGTTCCAAAAAGCAGGCGTTAGTTAAAATTATGAGTTAAAATTTATGTAGGGCAGACACAGTTCAGAGTGGAAAGTGCATTTATAATCATTACCCCTGGTTAGCACTCTCTGGAAGTTGAGTCATGGCAACTGGGTTAGGGTTAGGGTTAGCCTTCCGGCCAACTCTACCTAGATGGCTGAGAATCTTCATTAACATACTGGTTCAAACTGAGTTTTCCCCAAGACCAAAATCAAGGTGTTGGTTGATCAAACTTTGGAATTGGAAGATTGAGGTCAGCCCTTTAATCCAATGCCCTGAAATCAATATAAGATTTGTGTCAGGATTCCAGCAATCGCTCTAATTAAATCATGATTCTGGAGCCAAACTTCAATAAGCTTCAAAGGATTCATTAGGGGCAACCTACTGGCACTGCCCTGTATGAAGCCAACTCTGGCATATGTAATTTACAGTCACCTGTGACCCATTTTTATCCCCTCGCTGCTGGGTGTGTCATAAATCAGATTCTCCAATTGAGCACAATTGAGGTGTCATCATTTACGTTCTCCAATTAAAGATATCTGCAGACAAAACTCTGGTATTTTAGTCACAATCTTTTAAAGATAAGAATTGGAATGTACTTTCGCTTTCAAACTGCTGCACTGCTCTTCCAGATTTGCTTCCTTCCCCCCCTTTTTTTTATGGCAACTACTAAAACAGGCATAATGAATGTTTTGAGTTGACAATTTGGAATGTATGTAGACTTCAGCTTACAACTGTGATTGAGCCTGGCAATTATGGTGAGAAGTCATTACGGATGTATAGCAGGTCACGATCTGACTAGACCCATTTTTATGCACCGGTTGTTGAGTGATACCTATTCATCTACTTACACCTGTGTACTTTCCAACTGCTAGGTGGGCAGGAGCTGGAGCAAGGATGGGAGCTTACCCTGTTGTGCGGATCTCGGATCTCGAACTTGGGCTGTCAGCTCTCTATGCTCAAACGTCTTTAACCGCTGAGCCATCGCACCTCCCTCTTATATTCATATCCCCTTCTCATGTCGCGCAATCTCTGAAAGAATAAAAACCTCCCAACCTTTAGCCAAATCCTTAATTTCCTCCATCCCTTGCATATCAATGGCTGAAACTGGCAAGATACAAAGAAACATAGAATGTTATAACATTTAGACATGTATAAAGATATACTGTGTTTCTCATATAATAAGGCCGGGTCTTATTTTTTTTTTTTTTTTTTTTTGAGCCCTGAAAAAATGGCTAGGCTGTCTTTTCGGGGGTGACTTAACCCCAGGAAGTACTTTTGTTGCACACCCGGATATGGTGCTGCCTGCGTTGACCCCGATACGAAGTGCCCCACCAACGCCGAGGTCAACATCCAAGCCGTCGCCGCCATTTTGCATGTTTTAATATAGGCCTTAATTTGGGGGAAGGGGCTTAATTTCATTTCATGCCTATAAAACATGCTGGGACTTCCTATTGGGGGTGGCCATATTGTTGGAGAAACAGGGTATCAGAGATTAGAAGAAGAAAATTAAATATGTGTCTACTCAATTTGGCAACAGCTGTGCTTTTATTACTGCATTTAGCTTGATTTTTATTTTATTTTTTGGTTATGTAAAAAAAATGGTCAAATCCATTCAGGATGTTTGATGAGGGGGGGAAATAAAACCTAGATGGCATATAAGTATAGGATCACTGCTGTTTTATGGCATATTAATTCTGTAAATGAGCTGGTAATTTTATTAAGGGGAAGAATGCTTTGTTCCAATACATCTTTGACAGTGAGAAGAACATGGACGATTACACCCCCTAATTGGATTAGTTTGTCATGATGTACATATTCAATTGGAAGAGCACATTGTGATAGTCATACGAAGAAAGAAAAAGACAGTAATTTGAACACCAGCCAGATGGCAAATCTATATAATGTGTAAACATTATCTCAAAATTCAAAGAAGAGTAGGAGAGAGGAGACTATTGCTTGGAAATCTTCAAGCTAGCAAGCTTCTTCCAGATTATTATGTTGGCCTAGGAATTCATCTCTTATTTATTTTATATCTGTCTATGCCACTACAATCCAAGTAAGACTCTTGCCAGCTTGCATAAGAAGAAAGCAGTTAAAACATCCACGTAAAAATA